AAACCAGTGTTAGCAGTGTGGCATGCACTCTGATGTGTGCAGAGAGAAGTCTGGTGGAGTGTGGAGTTATGCACTGTCCAGTCCTCAGTGGCAGAGTTCACGCCTCCCACAGGTGTCCCTCTTGCAGTGCACAGCAGAGTCACATGCAAAGAACAGGCAGGAAAGTACATCACGGGTTACCGAGGACATACACAAAACACGGCAAGGGCAGTAAGAAATCTTATACATTAGCTGTTTTTATCCCTTATTCACTGGGTATACTGGGTTGGGTAGTGGTCCCTGAAAGTTCATGTCCTCCCTAAGACCTCAGAATGTGAGGTTATTTGGAAATAGGCCCTGTGTAGGTGTAGTTAGTTAAGATGAGGTCATACTGGTGTGCGGTGGGCCCTAAATCAACATTACTGGTGTCACAGAAGGAGAAGAGACACAGGGACACAGACACATGGGGGAGGATGCCATGTGACCACAGAGGCAGCGACTGGAGGGATATGGCAACAGGCCAAGGAACATCAAGGACTGCTGGCAACACGAAGAGCTCAGGGACAGACATGGAACATGTTCTCCCCAAGGGCATTCAGAGATGTGGCCCTGCTTCCACTGTGAGCCCGGACTTCCTGCCTCCAGAACTGTGAGAGGATACATTTCTGTGAGAAGCCACTCGGCCTGGGTACTTTGTTAGGGCAGCCACGTAAAACTAATTCACAGAGGAGCAGCTGAAGCTCAGTGAGTTCTTCCTTTTCTTTTTATTTTTTTTAGAGACCTGTGTCACACATGTCATTAAAAAATCTTAAATTATTAGAATGTTAGAAAAATTGGGCTGGGCGCAGTGGCTCAAGCCTGTAATCCCAGCACTTTGGGAGGCCAAGGCGGGTGGATCACGAGGTCAAGAGATTGAGACCATCCTGGTCAACATGGTGAAACCCCGTCTACTAAAAATACAAAAAATTAGGTGGGCATGGTGGCACATGCCTGTAATCCCAGCTACTCAGGAGGCTGAGGCAGGAGAATTGCCTGAACCCAGGAGGCGGAGGTTGCGGTGAGCCGAGATCGCGCCATTGCACTCCAGCCTGGGTAACAAGAGCTAAAAACTCCATCTCAAAAAAAAAAAAAAAAAAAAAAAAAAGAAAAATTACTTCTGTTAGTTACTCCTTTTTATTATGGCCAATGTGTGGTTTACATTAAATTTATGGTCAAACAAAACTGTAAAGTTATATGTACTTTTTAGCATATTGAACTCCTTGAAAAATAAATATGTAAAAATAGTAAAAATTTTCAGACTCAGAATATAAAATTTACTAATTCTAACAGTTATAAAAGTTTAAAAGCCAATATTTGCTTCCTATAGTAATAGTGTTGATCATACCTAAACATCTGAGGCTCAGACACTGAATGAGTTATCCTGGGAGCACAGACTGCCTTGCAGCCAATTGTTTTCCTTAATTCCCCATTTTAGAGATGATGTCATTGAGCAATAGATGGGTTAAAAAAACTGGCTCAATGTCACATAGCTAATATTCAATGTCCAATATTACTCGTACTGAAGCCCACACACCCGACTCCCAGCCATGCAGTTTACATATTGAAACACAGCAGCTCTGCATAGAGGGGATGCTCGAATACCTACTGCATCCACAAAAGGAAATGGACCACCTCACGGAGGAGAAAGCAATGCCTGTCATTACCTTAATAACAGGAGGAATTCATTTTATCATAAAACAGCTGAATTTCAGAACTACAGAGAAGTACTGATGTATATTTTAATTAGTAGGAAGCTGTATGAGTATGTTTAAGAGTTTAAACAATGCTCTTGGGTAACAAAAATAACCCTTTACAATTGGTTTTAAATTATTAAAATGCTCAGCTCACTATGAAGTCACCCTGAGCCTCATACTGTTTTAAGTTTTGCATAGTTTTAATTGTTTTTTATTAGTGGGTTTTTTTCTCAACACTGGCATCTTTTAGTGGATGGCGCCTCACTGACGTTTTCAGAAACCCGATCAAGCGCTCGCAGGGTTACCTCCGAGAGATCGCCGTTTTTGACGTGGATCCTGGCCATGCTGTCGAGCCACGTCTTCCTGAGCTCTGGCGTGCTAGCGTAGGATTTGGCCAGGCTGTACTGGAGGTCCACCAGCATCTCCGGGTCATTCTCGTGCTCCTTCATCTGGGCAGTGGCCATTAGCACTGTGCGTATCCTTTTGGTCAAGTCCTTCACATCAGAGGAGAAGCTGGTGTGCTAAAACAAGGGTGGAAGAAGAAAGGGCACAGGGTTTCCTCTGTTTTCTGCCTATCCACATGCACCTCAGGTGCTGAGGAAGAGTCTTGGGGTGGAACTAACACAGGTCAGGCCACCCACCTTGATGAGCCGGTCACTGTTGGCACAGTTGTTGATGATGGACAGGGACTGCTGGAATCTGGTTCCCCCAATGCCAACAACATCTGCTATCAGCTGGCTGACAGATATGATGACCTTAGGGACACACAAACGTGAGTGAATCAATTTACCTTCAAATGACTGCCCAGGCTGGGCTTCTGCAAGTTAGGATATTACTGAGGACAGGGTAAAATGGTAGGGGAGGGGAGGTGCTTGGAGCAGGGATTGCTCCAGTGTAGGAAACAATGTCTGAGGCATTTTCTTCCCCTTTAAGAGTAATTCCAGCCAGGCACAGTGGCTCACGCCTGTAATCCCAGCATTTTGGGAGGCTGAGGTGGGTGGATCACAAGGTCAGGCATTCAAGATCAGCCTGGCCAAGATAGTGAAACCCCGTCTCTACTAAAAGTGCAAAAAATTAGCTGGGCACGGTGGCGGGCACCTGTAATTCCAGCCACTCTGGAGGTAGACGCAGGAGAACTGCTTGAACCTGGGAGGTGGAGGCTGCAGTGAGCTGAGATTGTGCCACTGCACCCTAGTCCTGGCAAGTGTGAGACTCAGTCTCAAAGAAAAAAAAAAAAAGAATAATTCCAGAAAGTGATTTTGCTATCCCTAAAAAATATCATTTGCAAAGCAAAATGCTCATCAGGAGAACAAAGGGAGAAGGACAATGAGATAAGCACACCCACTTGGATAGTTACTTACCTATTATCTTCTCTAACCAAGAGGGAGATATGATTTACTTCTCAGTTTTCAGTCTGAAGTTATATGTATTAAATATGCAATGGGTAGACTACCCTTTGCACTACTTTATCAGAACATGGATATATTAACTGTGCAATGGGGGGCTCTGTCTTTCTCTGGCTCTATGAATAGCACTGCCTTAATCCAGTTGCTCCAGTTAAAGATGGAGGCCATCTGTATTTTTCCTTTTCCTTCACCACACCCAGGTACAACTGGTCACCAGATGTTGTCAACTCAATCTCCTCTTCCTTTTTACCTCACCATTCCTGGTCTAGGATACCATCCTCTCTGACCTAGCTTTGACAATGGTCTTCCTAGCTGAGGTCTAGACTACCCTTGACCCATAATCAACACTGTCCAGTGTTTCACTGTGGCCTGGAACATGCTCACTGCTCTTCGATCACCAGCCACTATGCATCCTTCTCATCCTCCAGGTGCCCCTCCTGATGCACTCAAGTTCCTCTATAATAGGAGTGGCCACACTTGCACTCTGAGAGTTCCAGGGCTTGTCTGTGACCTCCATTAGACTACACTCCATGAGGGTGGGGAGAGGGTTATTTTGTCACGGTTGTATCCATGAGTCCTATGTGGAATATATATTTATATTTTATATATGCATTTAGCCCTTAACTATATATATATGAGTTAAATGCAGAGATGGAAAAGGGACACCTACCATGTATTTGTAGAAAAACAGATTTTACAAAAATACACAAGTTGTGTCATTATCTTGGCTGGCTCTTAGAGCAGAGAATTTAGGATGCTTTAACTCTGAAGAGATAGCAGATGTGTCAGTAGATGGAAGAGAGAAAAGAACCACTTTGGTTGGGCTTTTTGTTTCTTACCTAAAATGTTTACTATTAGCATCCTCACATAGGTTCTAATACTTCTTGATTCAACAGAATTTTAATCAGTACAATATTGACTCAATATTTAAATGTCAATTTTCCAACAGAAATGCATCTGGGGCCCAGGTCTTATAGTAATGGACCATGAAATAAACCAAGCCAGAAAATGTGGCTTCCAGTTTTCCAGATCTTGCAGTATCTTTATGTCAAGGTAAATTGGTCAATGTGATACTCAAGAGTTTTCCTGATACAGCAGGGTTCCACAGAGTAAATCTGTACTGGAAAGCTAAACCACACGCACTTGCAAATGTGTCCGGACAAAGGACTTCTTTCCAGTGTAATCGAAGTTGTTCCTCATCAGGAAGTAGAGCAGCTGGGAGGCCTCGGTCCTGATGGAGCTCAGCTTGGAGTTACAGCACTTGAGAATCTCGTAACACAGAGCCGCACACATGTCTGCTCTCCCTTCATAGAATGTTGAGGGAAACTAGACAGGATGAGAGGAAACTGATAAAGCACAGAAGGATCGGTGCTCGGTAATGTACCCTTCAATTCCGGGGGGAGGAGCCAAAACATCTAACATACCCATGAAACAACTTACCTTATAAATTAGGGATCTTAAGGCAGTGAAGACATTTTTTAAAGCTGTTTCAGACTGATGTTTTTGAAGAAAACACAGGTAGACATCAAAAACTTTTTTCATGAGAGGATTATGTCCATGGTCAGCCAGGAGCTGGTTCTTAAAAACACACATTGATGGCTTTGTTAGTAGAACACACCAGACACCTTTAAGTAGGTTTCACACAATTTCAAGCTCAAGGATTAAATATTCAAGTATTAAGACAACCTATACTTTAAATAAACTCTGCCTTGAAACCTCTAGGAAAGTACAGAATTCTTTTGTAGAACAAACAAATCTATCAATACATTTATATTTTGGGGATAAGCCTCCCAGCAAACTGTAATCCAGTTGAAAGGAGGGCTTGCTTAGGACTGACAGGGCTTCTATTTATTAATATTTACTCATTTTTACTGTCTACCAGCAACTGATACAGAGGTGTCATTTGTGACATCTTAATTCCAACAGAGAAGTGCCATCACAGGTATGCATTAATTACAGATGGGAAAAAATACTCAAGTAAGGTATATGAAACAGGGCCTCAAAAATGAGGTTACCTCCCCAGGCTCCTAAGGCACTATGCTAAGCTATGAATAATCAGAGAGTTTGGTAAAGTGGAAAATGTATAGGCTTCAGTCAGGTACCATTTATCTTGGGCATGAATTTGCACAGGTAAACTGAGTCTCGGCATCCTCATCTGTAAAATGATGACCCTAAAACTGACCTTGAACACCAGCTGTGAAGACATGAGGTCAAGTGTAGAAACAATCTTAAACATACTTTGATCTAACTCAATAGGTGGTAGCCAGTAGGGTTTTAACATTTTGTAGATTTTACTTATCAAAAAAGAATAAGAAGATTATAATTTGCTTCTAGTCATTCAAGATTTCCTCATGTCAGTAGAAAATTCACACAAGTTAAACACTTTGGAAGCCTGGTTGGCTGAAATTCCCATCAACTGCAGAATATACACAGTAGCTAGAGGTGTGACCCAGCAAGCAGCCAGTAACAGCTTTGCGTCTAAATGTGTATGATACTGAAGAGTACCACCTTTCAATATGGACAAGCTGTCTGAACAAAGCTCTGTTGGGCGGAAGGATACGTGTATGCATTCTGCACAAGCAGGCAGATGCGACATCAATTTAAAAAATGTCAAGAGGCTAGTATCTCAAACCAATCTTACAATTTGGCCAAATGAACAGGGGTAATTTATGTCCAAATAATTTTGCTACGTAGCAAATTATGGTTGCAGTCATAGTTTCAGAGCAAGATTTACCTTGCCTTGTTGTTGAAGGGATATTTCTCCTCAAGGAGTTTTTGTGTTTTTAGGTCCAGTGAATTGTGGCTACATCACAGCTGGCAGAACACCTGGAATTCCCAGTGATCTTTCTATTATGAAATACTAAGGTACCATACTGAATTCTACCATGTGAAAGGGAAGCAATTTAATGAACAGAAAATGGGACTAATTAAATGAATATGATCTGATTCTCAACCATGAGCAGCTATTCACACACAAGGAAACAGATTTCCAGTGTTTCTGGAAATCCTTACAAGTTTTATCTATGAACACCATTTTCTTAGGAGCCATAGTTTGAAAAGCCTTGCTTTTCTCCAGCATTTATATTCCTAATTATGACTGGATTAAGATTTATGTCAATCTGGAGGTTAGACTTCATTTTCTTAGCACTCTTTGCCAGGGCTATCCAGGAGATATGGTTTCTACAAAAATTGCCAAGCTTCCCAGTTCTGCTCTCTGAACTGGCCTGTGTTTCTGATGTTTTTCTACTTTAAATTTCTCCACCTTTCTCTCTCTATGGTCAGGTTTTAGTCCTCTTTAGCTCTGATCTCAAAACTTGTTTGGAAGAATGGAGTTAAAATTCATTTACATTATATATCTCATAACCTGTTGTAAACCTCAAATGTATACAATATAACTTATTTTTAAAAATATGTAAATAACCCCCATTTAAATGGGTAAAGGACATTTTGTCCTAGACACACCCTAGTTTCCTAACTACTTGCCTTTATTTTCCAATCATTTTTTTCCCCTCTGTCTCTGTGTCCCCCTGCTACGTTCTCATCAATTAGAAGGTCACATACATTACGTACAAACACATCTTTGAACATTCAGAAAGGCCCACAGGGGGGCAAAAAAGCAAAACAAAAATCACCCTTAACTGTTCCACTCAGAAATAACCAGAGTTAACAATACAGGGTATCTTATTTCTATCTTTTTATCCCTATGGACTCTTGCTGAAGATAGGAAATTTTCACTTAGGAAATTAAATGACACATTAGAATAATATAAAGGCAGGGCTTATTTCTAGCAATCCAGTGGAGACTGCTTATCCAGAAATTCTCTGTCTTGGATTCAAGTTTGACAGTTGTTAACATGGTCTCTTATGGCGCTTGATCCAGAAGACGGGCCTTTCAGGAAATGAATGCTCAGTATTAGTAATGTTAAAAGATCCAGGAACACAGAGGAAAATAAACCTCTGTCCAAAACAAACGGGTGTCCAAATGAGGTATCTGGAACAAAGTTAATTTAAGACAGCAAACTCTTCTCAGTCAGACAGCATTTATTTTTATATACACATTGATTTACAAATAACTTTAACAAGTCAGTTTGGAGAAGAGCCATTTCTGTTTCAGATGTTTGCCAATCACTAAGATGACCTAAGCCTCATGTGTCGGCAGACCGGCTTCACAGTTGTGCAAAGCAGATCACAAGCTGCCTTGCAAGCCTCCGACCGCCCATGTGCTCCTCCTGTCTTGGTTCCTATTGCTGCTGATTATGTGTTACTTCTCACTGTGCAGTTCAAATGAAGAAGAGGCACTAAATGGAACTGCTAAAAATACATTTCCAGATTAAATCTGTGTACACATTAAAAATACTGTAAAGTACTTGAAGGCCAGTATTGGTTTGGGATTGTGTTAATAACAGACATCAGAAAAACCATATTTTCCTGCATGTGACAACCTGTTTACAAAACAAACCCTTTTATGTACTGAGATAACATGTGTGAACCTAGGCAGATTTGTAAACATCTGTCACCTGGTAAGTGTTTGGTAATTTTCTTCTTCTGCCTGTGTAAGAGATCATTCAAACACCTTGGATCTTTACTCAACTCACCTCATCTTTCTCTCTCATACACACTCACACACTTATTACTTAGTGGAGAACAAGACCTTTGGACAGGCCAGTTGTGTAGTGATCTTGGGCAAATTTCCTCGCCTCTCCCAGCCACGATTTCCTCATCTGTAAAATGTGGGATAATTGGATCTACCAGGCAGAGCTGTTCTGAAGATTAATGCCTGAAGCACAGAAGGCACTCAATACACAGCAGGAAGCTAATATAATAATAACCAGAATTCCGGGATTAAATCTTTCAAACATTTTCTCTTATTAAGAAATTGATTTCTGGATTGTCTTTGGCAATTTATTAGATATGGTCAATTAAGAGAGTCAGTAACCACAGAGCTATACCTGCTGAAGATGACTTTCTTGAATTATGTCAGCTCACTCACTGTTATAACCCTTCTGATGTGTTCCAACTGATGCCTCAGCTGAGTAAATATTTGCAGAGAAAGATTCCAGTGGCTGTGGTGCCAATGGGCCTCTCATATCTGTGAGTCTAAGCCAGGGAAGCCTGTCTTACCACATGGCCCAACATCCAGTAATGCCAGAGTGCACCATACATTTGCCTACCTCCCAGTGGGAGGTGTTGAGCTGTAAACAGGAAACATTTTTTGTATGCAGGCATATAACCCTGGAAAGAGATCTCCTCAACTCTAAAAGCTCAACCTTCCCTGGGTGTCTCAGGAATGAGGCCCTTTGCCATAGGACCAGAGAGCACACACAGGGGAAAGTGCTGACTGTTAACCTGGAGTTCACATTTGAGCTCCTACTGCTTTCCATTCCCAGATTGGAGGCCAGATATTTAGAGATCCAGGAATAGTGACAAATACTCTTTACTATTAAGCAAGCAACCTGAAGGGGACAGAGTTAGAACTGCAGGCTGTTCTCAAGGGTGTCACTCAGACTGCACTAGTGCCCTGTGTGCCCGTAGCTCACCCCATGATGCTGCTCTGCAGCTCCAGAATTTCCTGCTTATTTACTGGGTAGGGGACAGGCAGAGAGGGGAAGAAGGTGTTGCCACTGCTGTTCTGAACTTAATCGTTCACGTTTGAGACTGACACAGGTGTGCATAGCCAGACATTCACTTTTAAAACCTTCCCTCCCTATTTACTAAGAATTTTTAACTAAAAATACCCAGGAGAAAACAGAGGTTCTGAAACCTCTTTCCTGTTTCTAGTAGAGGCAGTGTGATGTTCAGGTCTCACGGCCAGAGTTTCTGATTCAGTGGGTCTAGGTGGTGGCCCGAGGATTTCCATTTCTCACATGCTCCTGGGCTGCAGCTGCTGCTGGCCTGGAGACCACACTCTGAGAGCCTCCGTAATAGAGGCTCCGGGTGCCAAGGCATTCTTACCCCTGAGCTCATTCTGTGCAAACTCATTTCCAATCTCTCCACTGGGCTCCTAGGAATGGGTTTCATAAGGACAATAGTGGGGTGGTGGCTAAGGAGAGTAAGGTATATAATAATAAAGTGACAGGATGTCAGGAAAACTATCATTACTTTTCCTAAATGGAATATGCTTTCTGAGTAGTGGAAACAAGTAAAGCAGAGAATGACTTTGGTTCTATTTCCCGAATACCCTTGCAAATAAAAAAATTGCTGCAATATTTATGGCATATAAACACTCATTCAATTTCTCCTTTCTATGATAGAAATGGAAGCAATCATTTAGCGAGAATGACAAGTATTAGGTTCCTAAAAACAGGAGAGTAGCTTAAGAGTCCATCTCCACTTATTTGGATATTTGCTAAAACTTAAAAATAAGACCAAAAAAAAAAAAAAAAACCTTTCATTTTCTATCTCCAAAATGTTTTTATCATTTAATTTGGTAACAGATAAAAAACTGAAAAGATGAACATGTTTGTATTTATTGCTCCTTTCTATATAAAAATCTAGTTTAAATGTGAAAACATCTGGATATATTTAAAGATATTCAAGGCAGAAATGCTGGAGTAGATGCCTATATCCATCATCCTCAAGGTTCGAGCCAAGAGTTAACCGCCTTCAGAGACGGTGTTTCCACCATGCCCAAGCCCACAGCACACACTGACCAGTTACATTTTACTTCAGGGCATTCAAGCCATTCACTTGAATGATTTCATTATAGGAATTTAAAGATTAATGGTTTCCTTACAGGGACAAAAACAATTGCTGATGTAAAAATGCAACACAGGAGGTGTGTGCTGGTTGAGCTTACCCAGCAGAATGAATGTGAAAGGCAGAACTTGGGCTACCAACAGCTGATTGATACAAACCTTAAACGCCAATGTAAATAGAGAGAGTGTGTCCAGAGCTGTCAGGCAAACCTCAGTAGCAATGTTGGCTTCAAGTAATGACTGGTGCAGAACGTCTGCGTCCGAGTGGCCATAGCCTGCATGAATTACAGCACAAGATTACTGCCCAGTGAAGGCAAGGCTGGAGGGACGGGGTCACACAGTCAACTTTTGATTATTTACCAGGGTGTCCACTTTGGGACCTTGTCTCCCTGTTTGCCTTTTTTTTTTTTTTTTTTTTTTTTGGTGGGGGAAGGAAGGGAGACAGTAGTAACAATGTTTCCATTCAATTATAACTCTTTTTCCCATTCTGAAAGGGCAATAACCACAGCAAACATTGATTATGCACTTTCTGTGTGCCAGCCAGGATTCTATGAACTTTACACATATTCTCTCATTTACTCCCTCAACAGCCCTGTGAAGTATGAACATTGTTGAACTGTTGGTGCAGAGAAGGAAACGAAGGCACAGAAAGGCTAAACAACTTGTCTAAAGTCACATAGGTAGTAAACAGTGGAGACAGGACTCGGACAAAGACAGGTGTCAACCGATTCTGCTGTCTGGCAGGAGTGCTGGTGGAGGCTAAGATTTCCAAAGCTTCCCAAGTAGATGGAGGCCGCAGCACAACACAGGTTAGGAAAATGAGCCTGAGATCAGGCTGTTGCTCACCGAGTCCTGCTCTGCCACTCACCTGTTGTGTGGCCTTGGTAAGTGATTTGGCCTCTTTATAACCTCAGTTTCCTCATCTGTAGAATGGGGATAATACAGTATCTACCTCAAAGGATTGTGGTAAGGGATTAAATTTTTTAATATTTGTGAAGCTCTTAGAACAGTGTCTGGCACACAGTGAGTGCTATGAAGGTGTTAAGTCAATAACATCAGGAGCTATGTTATCAGCAAGGCTCACGAATGATAATCAAGAGTTGACTGCGCAGGGCATAGTACTCTACTCGCTTTAAGAAAAAGCATAAAAGCCAACATGTCTGAAAGAAATGTTCAGAAAAAGAAAAGGACTTGAAGAATCTGTCATTTAAATTTAGCTTAATCACACATAATTTAAATGGAAATGGAAATCTTCTATAAGTGGCAAAATCAATTTAGTACTGATAATAAATGCAATTTGACATACAATTTGAGATATTAAATTATGAAATGGTGTGCATTAGCAGAAATACATAAAGGGATGCAAAGATGTTACAGTACTGATCTAGATTACAATGAAAGATGGCAATATAATAAAACACCATGTAATGTCTTTCTCCAAGGAGCAAAAATAAAGCAATGCTTATTACTTAAGTAATCTTCCTAGTACTCCAGAGAGGAGGACATTTTGTACATAGATGAGGAAAATGAAGTACAGAAAACCTAGGAAATTTTCTCGAGACCAGTAATGGGAAAAAACCAGAATCTACACTCCAAATTCCTTATCCAGGTCACTGTATCACAGTACATATTAATGGGAGAAAAATCAAGTAACTAAGCATGACATCATTCTGACTTAAATGTCAGAATTATAGTGTTTTTTAAAAGGCTACAAAAGAGCTTTTTAAAGCTACAGAAGTGATTTTTAAAATATGATAGAAATGCTGTTGTGTGCTTTTATCCAGTGCTGCTCTGCTTTCACAAAGGTGAGGCTGAGATCTGTTTGTGGAGCACATCACTCCCACTCTGCGGCACAGCCAGCATCTCTCTAGATTTAGTGAGGATCTGGCACCAGGCTAGCTCCATTTCGTTTTTGCTTTTTGGGTACAAAATCCCCCAGAGAAAAGAAAGGTGGATATGTTGAGGTACTAATATTACTTGTACTGCCATAATGGTAAGCCAAGGCATGACTTTATTCAGAGAGGTTTGTTTGGTAAGATACAGAGACAATGAAAGGAAAACAAACAGGTCGATGATGACTGTTAAAGTGATCACATACTGTGGTAAGAGGGCACACACAAAAAATATAACACCTGTTATCAGACCAACCAAAATGACCACACAGGTCCAAGGGATCCTTTCCTGGCAGCTGCCATTTGCCTTGAATGAGTTTTTGTCTAGATTCAATTTTAACAAGGAACTGGCTTTGATTATTTTAATTTCTTTCTCTGCACAGAACTGTCCTTCTCTCTGTCTAGATCACCTACAGGTGAAGTGCATCTAGGCGATCATTACCAATGAGATGGCCTGAAGAATGCCCATAGAATTTAACTACTCCCGGCTGAAAGCCTGAAGCAATTAAAAATTAGAATTTGGCCAGATGCTGTTTTAAAACATATCACCAATGAACTATGCTAATTGAGTTATTATATAATTATTTATACACATATGGAAACGTGGTACTAGGAAATGTTACACACCATCTATCTACTCTTCCTTAGAGTCAGATTCATACAGAAATTGTTATGCTTGCCTGAGTCATACGGGCATCTAACAGAAATGGTCCTTTTAGCCACATTTTGTTATGCTTTGCTTTTCCTTCAACTGTTTCATCTAAGAAATCAGCAGGATT